TCTATAAGGCCGTTGTACGTTGAAAACTACTTCTAGTCGTAAAAAGTAAATATTTGAATTGAATTAAACTATATTTTATATATATAAATTGTGCGTGCGCACGTATTGAACAAGAACGTTTGTCTGAAAAGGACCTTCGCCACCGCCAGCCCGTGTGTATTATTCATATCGGACTAAGTGTTTGTTTCCCCGTTGGAGTGCCCGTGAAACCTGTGGAACGCAACAGTAAATGTACTAGAGTATTACGTTTTATCCGTCTTTCGTCGTTCGTTCCCGCATTCAAATTCGCCGTCCCGTGTTTTATCAGCGCCGCATAATAATATACGAATTCACGTTTTCGTGGTTCGTAAATCTAGTTTTAGACGTGGCGTGAATGGTTTACAACTACGGTCTTACATGGTATGTGCACCACGTGTAGAAAATATTACAAATAATAACGATACCGCTAAACAATAATAATAGCCTCGAAAATTCAAGCACGATGATGATACACGCAAATATACTGCTGTGTATAGTATGCGGGTGAAAACACTGCTACCGTTTCACTTGTATAATTAATCTTCCGCCCGGTCGGACTAATTAGTGTTCAACTACACAAGAGATTTCCAGTCAGTTTTTGTCTCGGTAATCCATTATTATTGGCGCTATAAAACAGGCTACTGCAGGTCACTGCGCCGTCACCGATCAATTGAAATATCATTTTGTCACAACCCCCTCGCCCCGACAGGCCACGCTCTTTGTTTATCATTGAACCTTTTTATATATTTTCAACTCTCATTAGGCTGACGTTTAAATTAGTCTGGCAAGTGAATCTTTTTGCAGAGGAATATTGACACCTCACAACATCTGTTAGGGACAATTGATGTTTTTTGTAGTTTGGTTTCAAACGATTTTTCCTTTCCACCTTATTATATGTAAACGTTTCTGAGTAAAAAAAAAAAAATAATAAAAAAATAAAAAAAATACGGTATATGTATAAAATATTCGGCATCCAAACAGAATTTGATCAAAGTTAAATTTTGATGTTATAAAAGTACACTAGGAGAGAGCGAGGGCGAGAAAAAGGGAGAGAAAGAGTTCGTAATATTTTTCCAATATGAAAATGCTTTTATTTTGAAATGTTAACAAAATTTATTATATACATATCTAATAATTTTCATTACAGTAATGTTAAAACGTCATGTTTTGATATTTCAAATTGCAATTGATTGAGAATTAATTAATTCGGCATAAATACTATTTTCAAATTATAAATAAAATTTAATATAACCAAAAAATTATATTTAGAAAATCAGATTTTGCATATTTTAGGTTTTTTACATAATTATGGAATATTTTAGAATTTTGGCTATTTTTAAATACTATTTTAATTTAGTATGTACTAAAATATTACAAAATATTAATGTTACAAATTGTAATACAACTTTTTTTTTAAAAATTTCCATTTATTCGTGCATTATAAAATATTTTTTTACAGTTAATGAATTATGAGAGATTACATTTTTAATTGTTCGTACTTATAACTTAATAATTATTTATGAACGTTAAATACAACAAATTGATAATCATAATGGCTTTAATTCAATTGTTTTGTTATTTTTGTTTTCCGAGTAGATACGATTTGTAATTATAAAGCATATACAATAAATAAATTACATATTATAGTTACCACCAATTACCAGTTATTATTGAACTGTAACAATATTTATCTATATTTATGTTAATATTTATGCGGAAACATCTAATATTTTGACGAGAAAATAATTTTAACACATAAAATAAACAAAAAATATGAGAAATATGTCGGAATGTTATTAATATAAAATTGCATTCAATAATAATGCGATAGTAATCTACGTAAACGATTTATAGACTGACGATACGATAACGAGAAGCAGTTGAAGTTGAATTTAGCTGTCACTTAAAAACAATGCTTGAGAAATTCATCAAGTGACTTTTATACGTTTCGCGTATATTGCAGTCAATAATAATATGAAATATGACACGTTTCATAAATTGTATTACAATCGCAAGTATTCGCTTGACAACAAATAGTATATCGAATATGTTTTCTTACGAGATGATTGACGAGGAGTGCTCACTATCTGTCACAGGGAAAATATCTTTTTTCCGCGATAACCTATCAGACAGCAATCACGCAACGTTGTTGTTTTTTTTTTTCACAGGGGCGGTTTGTATAGATGTCGGATAAACGCAGAAACACGTCGGTCTGACGCGGTGAACTCGGTGGTATTAATCCGTCCGATAAACAGCACTAGTGTACAACACGAAGGATATTGATGGAGGAACTTGTCTAATTTATTATCGCAAACGTATTTTAAATGTTCGGCGAGGTTCACTTTTGCAAATTAAAATCCGAATAGGCCATATTTTACCGGGGTAATCCGTTGGCTTAAGGTGTCGTGCCGAACACACAGGCCGACCGTCTTAAAGGAAAAACGGGTCGTATACATAAACAACTGTTTTAGTACCACGTCGTCATCGGCGGGGATCAGTATGTCCCCCTATTCCCCGGTCTTCAGCCCATCGCCACGTAACGCCCGGCTCTAAAAACAATTTTATACACGGGCAGGGCTTCGACGACAACGGGTGCGCGATTCCATCAATATGGACTGTTTGAACGCATCCCTTGTATAGGACACTTGTGCACATAACCTAGAGGATCGTGCGGCCTCGATGTGCATATCTATACGTACGAAGAAAATAAATCACTAGCTGATTAAAGTTTTGATCCTCTCGCACAATGTTGCACGCCAGACCGAAGATTTCTTCCAAGAAAACGTTTCAGTTCTAAAGTTTATACACGCACAGTGTACATATAATATTATATTGGTATATATATATATAAATATATTTATTTATTGAGGATTTCAATAATGCAAGCACGACTTAATCCAGACAAATGTACATGGTTATAAATGGGATTATTGTTATGAACAAAACAAATACGATCACGGCGGTTGGCTAACCATCATTCGTATTTTCAATGAGCATTAAACATAAAACGGTTTTAAAAGAAAAGTAAAAAAATGTAACTTTTCGCCAGAAAATATATGCGCACACGCAGTATAACAGTAAGACAATGTCCTTTGATATATTCTGCCACAGCGCTCATTTTGATGATAATTTCCAAATAACCTTCATGCGTATATACGTATACGGTACTTTTGACTTGCGGTAATATTAAACGAAGAAAAATACTGTTCGTCTTCACCGAAGAAGTCGTTAAACGTGACACTGCTGGAGATGTTTCGAAAACTTTTTGATAAATCTTTATAATTCCTCATTTGCTACTCGATTTAAACGTTAACATCCGAGCAAAGTGTTTCTATTTTTTTTAATTACTAGATTTATGAAAGGACGGATTCTCGTTCTTAAAAACTAATTTTGGGCAAATTTCGAGTGAGGGACCAGTCGCACTCCGGTTATCTTAAATGTGTTTGGTGTTTTTTTATACTCGTGACACGTCTACTACTTTACTATTTCCTTTGCAAGAATAATTATAACACCACCCCCTAAGACATAGGGATTTCTTATATTCAACACAACATAACACATTGGAAACAATAGTAACTATACAAAAATAACTAATAATAAGAAGAAAAGAAACGGAGTCAACGGCGTTGATGTTGCTTTCGGTCCAATTCCAAGCGTTTGGCCACTTCATCGTCGCGTCGTCGCGCGGTAATATAAAGTCGATTAAAATACCAAGCGCCTTCGTCGGCCAACAGTTTTACGACGCAGATTTAGGTGTTGAGATACATATAGTAATTGCCAGTAAACAGTGCTAGAGACGGGCTCTTAATCACTACTGTTTCACGGGTATTAAAATTGCGAAACGACATGTATAAAAGTGTCAAGCCAACCAAATACCCTGTACTCGATGCTGATCAGAGTGAAACGGTAAACTGAAAAACAGCGAATGTAAGACTATTACTTACGCTGAATCTTGGGTAAAATCAAAAGTATAACATTATTGAAAATACAGAAAGATTTATAGTACAGAAAAAAATCTAAACCAAACATATTTTGAGACGTTGTAAGCATATGAAAATGACGCATTCGAAACTCTTGTATAGGGAAAATTATAAATGACGCAAGATTCGAAACCTTAAAGGAAGTTAGAGAGAAGGCATGTAATCGACTAAAGTGAAGAATCCGAATTATAGATCAACGTATGGGTTGAAAAAACTTAATTTTATTCGACACTATCAATATTACATAATATTTGAACATTATAGGTTTAGCATTGATAAATTATAATAATGTGGTTCTAGTTAGACATCATTAAATACAACGCGGTTTGGTCAAAACATTATGCGATCACTCTGTAAGATTGTTTAGGTACATCGTTTGGAATTCAGATAATGCGCATATATATTTTGTTATAATAATATTATGAGTATACATTATTCGGGTACTGTCGTTGACAGTTATAATATTAGTATATTCAGATTATATAACATTACATACTCTACGTCGAGCAAGAGAAACCGTGTCGACATCGAAGAATATATCGTATCGTTTGCAATAATTAAGTCCCTGGTACTGTTTTGTACACATCGTCATATTAATTTGAAAACTTATATTGTTTTCATTGCAATTATGCGAAAAAACATTACCGCAGTATTCATTTTTTATCTTTATAATTATAAAGTTACACGAGACCGAGAACGAGACGGAATGAAAAAAAAAACAGTCGTTGGCAGAATGGAACGAAGTTTTTGTTCACATAGCCACAAACAATTACGTATTAAATAGTATTGTCATCGCACGCGACAAATGGCCCGATTAAACGAATGAAAATTTATTTTACTCGTTCAAAATTGAATGGAGTTTTCGACAGGATTTTTGAAATTTGGCATGACGATCTCAGACGAAAATTAACTTTATTTTCACGTCATTTTCGACGTACAAGAAAAGCATACAACAATATTAGTACCAATAACACGTAGTTATGCTATCCAAAAACTATAAATTTATCGAAAAATCTTACCTTTGCTGACACCCGTAAATTTATCCCTGAGCAAGTTCAACTGGTACACGCGGCCAAACTCACCAAACATATCAGTCAGGTCCTGTTCGTTCATCGCCCTCGGTATCTGGCCAACGAACATTTTTATGTAATCCGGTTCCGGTTGTTCCGTTTCGTTGCTACCGTCGACCGTAGACGCGCAAGGGGTAGGCATGATCATTTCGGAATCGCTGAGAAATAAAATAAATGGAAATAACGATATAATTACAACTATAACAATTATAATAATTATAATTAAAATGTTTTTCACCGTTACTTAAAAAACAATTTTTAATTGTGGCCACATAGGTATATTTTACTACTGTATAATAATAGGAAATAACAGAAGAAAAAATGTCACACGATTTTTAAAATCATACAAAAATGAAAAAGTTTTATTACACGATGTGTATGCATTTATCTGTGCGTCGTTGATAAGCGATTTATTTTATTAGATGAAATTATTCCAATCTTAAAATACGCTCGTTTTGTATTATACATTGTACATAATACAATAAATATGTACATTGTATATTTCATATTACTAATTCACGAAATTTATCGCAATAACATAATTATTTCATATACGATAATCCCAATATGGCATTATTTTTCTTTGTTTAAACTTAGATGATTTTTTCTGTGCATATTTATAATGTCGGGAGGGTGTTTGAGGAGAGCGTCAGTTATAGATAAATTCAATATTTACTAATCGTGGGCGTTGTCTTCTATGATTTCGTCGTCTAAAAAATATTATTACCAATGTAAATTTCCGAAAAGTTGATGTTACAAATTGGCGAATACCTGGTAAAATTTCAGGTACGCAAGATAGGTTATGCAAGATGGTATAAATATAATAATTACAATATTTACAGTAATGAGAGTATAATAACTTTTATTATTTTTCATTTTGTTCGCAATAGAAACGTTATTGGCTGGTCTTGCAAGTCGTATATAATTTCACCTGACTTGTATTATATTATATTCAAAAGGTTTACCGAAAATTGTATTTCCAAACGACCTCCGGAAGATTGGTCGTCAGACCGACAGTAAAGACAGTCCTCCCCCCCTTCCGTACCGTATTCAATCGCAAAGAGGCTTATGATAAGATTTCGACAACGACTGTTGCACGGAATGGGTTTACGAAGTAGTAGCAGCGCGAGTAACTAATCAATCGACGAGCACTATACACGTCGACCGAATGTCACCTGATCCGGCTAAATCCATTTGACATTACGTATCATCATTATTATCATCATCATTACCATCATCATCATCATTATTATCACTGCACGTTATTTTACGTTGTAATAAAATCGGCAGGATGAAAACGTTGACGTTGGCGCACAAAAAAAAAGAAAAAAGAAAAAGGAGATTAATAATTTGTGGCCCACATTTATTTGTATTGTCATCGTCGATCGCGAACGTCTTTTTCGCTATTATCAAACTTTCAACCGAAATCGTATCCGTGTATTGTACTAATATGTTCTGCGATTTCCCGTTGCGTTGTCCCGGGAAGGACGGTTGATAGGTTATTTTTTCACTCACGAAAAAGTATCGCGATCCCGTGTGTGAAAGGCGCGCACGTACGGTGCAGTTGTACGGGATTACAGGATCGTAGTTAAGTTCGAGGGAGTAGAAGAGATCACCCCCCATTCTTCCAAAGATCGTGATGAAGTGAACACGAATTGAGATAAACGGTGCTGACCACTTAATTGCACGTCTTGTAAGTACCCGAACATTTTGTAGAATGTTAATAGTCACCTCTTCCGGAAAAAAAAAAAAAACATCAAATTTTAACCGGTTGAAAAGCAGTTAGTTTTCTATGTTGTCAGGAGCGTTAGCGAGTCTTCCTACGCCACTGACCCGGGCGGCAGTACGACGGGCCGCCGCAACGTCGCGGGGACTTGTTGTAGCCACTGCTGCTCACCGTCGTCGCGTTCCATTGTGCGCCGCCCCCGCGTCCTTATCAGCCCGTACACACACGAGTACCGAAATTGCATATGCATGAACGCCTCGTAATGATCGGACGAATAGAACCGAATATCATCCCGTCGTATGCGCGGCGATGTACGATAATAACAATGCTTCTCCACTGTGTAAAGCGGTGATGTGACATTTATGTACATTTGTTTATTTAAAATATTCACACACGCACACACGCACAAATCATTTCCGTACGGTTGAACGCGACGAAAACACGTGGTAATCGACACGTCGACTATATAGCATAGGTTGAACTTTGAATCGAATGGTAACATTATTTCACAGCACACCTGCCGTGCGCACTCGAGTTATCGCGATGTTGCGACATATCGATACATTTTTTTGCTTCTCGGACGGAAACGTGATATGGTTATTTGGGTATTATACACCGCATACCGTAATGGTTACTGTACAGTGTGTGTACTGTATATATTACAATATCCTTTCTTCCTTTCGATCGTAGAGGATTCTACTGCATAATAGAATCCGAAAGATAGGGTTTTTAATTAAAAAAAAAAAAAAAAAAAAATGTATAAAATAAATGAACAAGTAATAAGTGTATATTTATGAATCGAATAATAAAAGTAGATACTACAGTTTTACAGAAGCTAGATGGCCTCATCTCTATATTATATATCATGTTATTTTTAATTACAATGCTAATTTTTTTTTTCTTATTAGCGCAGATTATAAATTCAATTGTAAAAAGGAAAGGAAAAAAAAATTGAAGTAGTGTCGATGGGCTTCACTAAAGTCTTCAAACCTTGTAAAAAAACACTTCACTTATTGTTTTATTATACTGCAGATTGCAAATACATATTTATATTAATAATAACAAAATTTAAGAAAAGAGAGAAAAAATAGCATCTATGTACAGTGTACACGGTTGTATAAGGAATTTAGCGATTTACATTAAATGTATCAAATGTTATTCTTTGTACTATCAAATTTTGAAATTATAAACAATAGCTTCTATTATAATAATTGTATAGAGTAAATATTTCAATGGTTGTGCTCTGTTTATGTATGTATACGGGTATTTGACATGAGGGGAAGTATAATTGTTACGACTGTCGGCTATTATGTTATATCGAATAAAATAAACAGTGTTTTATGTTTTGTTTGTGATTAAATTTTATTTGTTTATTTTTTTTATATAAAATTAACATAATATGCATGGTTTAATCTTTCGTTTCTCAGATGAGCAATTAGCTATGAACAATAAGTCAATGTTCGAAGATTGAAAAAAATGAATTTAAGCACGAATAATTTTTAAAAAAAAATTGATTTTGACATACTGCACAGTTTAGAAAAAAAATTAATTAAAATCTGACAGAACGGCTATTACAGCGTCACTGCATATACATACAAGTAGGTGTAGGTAGATAGGCCTACCGGGAACCCTGGGAAAACGGATTTTCTCGGTAGGACTTCATATATATTTAAACTCAGAGGTACCAATCCCGCGGACTAGTAGGAGAAAAAAAAATTGTTATTTTATAATATTTGTACCAGCATATTAATATTGAAAGCAATTATTCAAGATTCGAAAAGCATAATTAAGAGATTCTACATGTCTGTACCCTTATAATTTCAAACTAGACGTGACACTTCCAAAAAACATAAATTGATGCGAATGACAAGATTTTCAAATATTGTCCAGAAATTATGTATGAAGACTTCCGAGATTAATACACAGACTCAATATCAAAATGAAAAGATATAAAAAAAAAATTGATTGTGTGTATAAGTACTAAAAGACCTTGATGACAATATGTCAATATTGACGGTAATAACAAAAATAATTAATATTTCTAAATTTGATAATGTATTTAATATTCATAATATAATTTTAAATTTGTATTCTTATCATGTTAAGTGATGATGCAGGTTTAGTATCATGTAGCCATAGTCCAAATAGTAATGTAAAATATTGTGCTGATGAAGTAAAACTTATATAAAAATGCATATCCCAGTCTTTTCATTGCTTAAAAACTAATTTTAACATTTCCTGTAACGCAAGTAGAGTATAAAAGAAGTTTTTTGAAGTTGAAAAAACACTTAAGAAATTTATTGGGCCAAGAAATGTTGGAATGTTTTATGTTTTTGAATGTAAAAAAAAGATTTACTGAATAAAATTGATTCAAATTATATTGTTCAGAAATTAGGTGCTAGAAGTAGTTCACTGAATAAACTGTTACCATTTTAATATTTGATTATCCAACATAAATTATACAAATGATTAATATATCTTTAATATACATTAATTGTAAAATATAGCGAGTAAAGTGATCATCTATATACTTATACATATACACAGTGGCGTAATTAGGAATTTCGTTTGGGGGGATTAAAGGTTTTAGCAAAATCTGTACACCTTATACAGTAACCCCATAGCCCAACAGAATAATTCAAATTTTAATAATAATAATAATAGTAATCGTAATAATAATAATAATAATGATAATAATCATATTATCACAATATAATAAATAAATAAAAATTACATAAAAAAAGTTTTTGGGGGGATCCATCCCTCTAATCCCCCCTAATTACGCCCCTGTATATACAGGTTAGTGGCTCAACTAGAACTAAATCTTGGAGGGGTAGACAACAGCTTTAACTCAATATTATATCAAAGGTGATATTTATACAATTTTGTTTGTTTTGAGGGCTAAAAGCAATGTTGGTTTTATAAAACAACCATTGGTTACGAGTTTGTTTAGAAAGGAGGCTAAACCTCCACTCTATTTTCACCTATGATGTAGAGCCTTGTTTCATGTGGCCCTAATAAATAAATCCCATTAAAAATCTAAAAATAAAATACCCAACCACCCATGTATACACAAGTACGTACCCGTGGTATAAACAACTTTGATTTGTCGATCAGTAAATTAATCTTGAACTGAGTAGGTGTACTTTAAGTTTAAACCAATATATTATTAAAATACGTGTTCACCATTTGCACCGTTAAATGTACTGTTTTTTATTGCACATTGTTGTAACCGTTCCGACAGGGATAATAATAATACGTTATGTAATTTATAGCCGTTGTCGTTACGAACATCATATTATTCGGAATATTTGTTTTAAATGAAAAACGTAATACAATTGTTCATGTGAGGTATGCACGGTTGTTTGTGATTTATTATTTATTAAAGAGACCGACGCGTATACGTCGGTGGCTGATATTTCAATGATACAG